CGCCGACGACTACCAGCTTGTACTCTCGGAGAAACTGGCGCGGGTTAGCAGGGGCGCGTGCGGCGCGGGCGGAGCAGGGCGCCTACCTTTGATGCCATTGTGAATGTGAGGTCGGTGCCGGACGGTTACAGGTCGCGGGCGATGAATTAGGGTATAGGGTATAGGTCTAGTAGAGTAGAGCAGAGCAGAAGAGAAGAGAAGGAGGCTGTAGGGGCGGCGATCACGGGCGGCGGGAGTGGTGGCGATGCGACAGGCGTATCGGGGCTGTGACGGGCGCTGGTGGTGAGGTCGTGGCCGGATTATCAGCAGCGAGGGAGATGGCCAGGAGAGTCGTCGCGGTAGAGGAGGACGGGAGAGACGAGCAGGATGATCTCGGTAGCAAAAACGACCCTCTAGCTCCGTCTGGGGCTTTGAAGGAACATGGGCTGCGCTACGCTGACTTCGCTGACTAGGACATGGGCGCGCGCGCGGCCAGAGCGCTAGCCTGCTAGCCCTGCCAACCAAAAAGGACGCCCGCCGCCGCTCCACCACACCACAAGGCGAGTGCTGCACGCGCGAGACAGGCTCAGGGCGTTTGCCTGCACCGGGCTACCATTTGCTGCTGCATGCCTCTGCGCGCACGCCTGCCCACGTCCGCTGCCCTTCCGCTGCCCTTCACGCCGCGCCAAAACAAAGGCACCTAAAGCGGCGGCACATGTCTGCAGCGCACTGCATGGGCGCGCCTCCGACGCTTCCATGCGATCCCAGCGCCGACGCCCACATGCACGGACGCTGCCCACGAACCACTACTGTGCGCAAGGGATGGTTCGACATGATGCGAAGGGGGAGGCGGCCGCAAAAGACGTTGGCTGTCTAGCCGCACACCGCGTCGCTTTCGCGTTTGCATGTCTCCCGTGCATGTGACTGCCCGAATATGCGGGTGCCAGCCGTGAAGCACACTGATGCCCATGCCAGGAACCCTCAGGCTACGCCCACACGGAACCCTCCCAAGCGGGGTCGGCGGGTACCCTCTGCCACCATCCGCGACCATCGCTCCGAGCACCACGGTGACCGACTCTGTCTGAATCCTCACCTCCATCTAGCCTCTACCAGGGTCCAGCGTGGCCGCGGCACAGCTGCTTCGACAAATCTTCGAGAAGCACCCTAGCCGTCGTCTAGTCCCAACATCATCTTCACAGGCATTCTATTTTGACCAAAGTCCCTGCGTCTAGACACTCAAATATATACACTGTGGCTGCGGCACTGCTCCCTCGGCTCACCCTCTACGAGTCCTTGTCAGACGTGTCAGCGTCGTCCTCGCCCTCAACCGCTACGCGCCTCCCCTGAACCGCCTTTTCTACCTCAGGCACCAAACTTTCCATGAACTCGCGATCGCGTCCGACTAGCGTTACCGTGTTGTGGTCCTTTCCCCACCTTGGGTAGCTTCCCACCTTGACCCCCTTCGGCTCTGCCTTGGCTGCGAGCTCGGTCAGATATCCAGCAACGGCACTCTCAGCCATCGGAGTCGAGATGAGGATCCGCAGCACGCCTTTGCCCTCCGGATCCGTCAGCCTAGGCAGGATGCGGGGCTTCAGCCCGTCCAGCATCGCTTCAAACAATCTAGGCACCCCGGGCAAAATATGGATGTTACCGTTCACAACGCTAACGGGAACCCAAAGCGACTCGCTGACAAAAACCACTTGATCTTCATCTGATTTAGAATCATCGATAGGCAGCTCCACCATGCGTTTCTTGGCTTTAAGCGCTGGAGACTCAACGTTCCAGTCAAAGTCGGGCTGAGACTTGTGCGGCTTCGACAGGCGCTTCATGCGCTGGAATGCTGCATCGTGTAACTTCAACGGCAAGCCGAAAGCCTTCGCTATCGACTGGTACGTGATGTCGTCGTGACTAGACGCCCATTAGCTCAGCGGCTGGGTGGTGTAGCGAACACGCTGCACTCACGTGGGACCAATTCCGCCGCTCGTCACAACCATGTCGTAATTTTTCGACATGCGTTGGACGGCTTCGATGATCTCGCCTTCGTCGTCAGCAATGACTTCGATGCGGCGCAGGTTGATGCCCAGTGAGAAGCAGAACTTGGCGAAGTAGGCCTGTGTGACATTAGTCGAGGTACCACGCCGTTGATGCGGCATAGTCTACCGAGTTCGTGTCGACTGTCTATGTTTCACGTCAGCTGCCAGAAATCTCAATCGATTCCCACATACATACCTTGCCTCCAAGGACTTCATCGCCAATGATCAAACAACCCGCTGTGTGAATCAAACTCTTCTGTTGTGTCGAAGCCATGACTGATGACGTTATCGATGGACGGAACGAGGCGGCAGAACGATGAGCAAAGTTGGGGATAGGACGAGACAAGTGCCTGGCAACCTGATTCAGTCGTCCGAACATGGATCAAGACGAGTAACTCAGGGGGAAGAGGATATGAGTAGCTAGTTGCATGAGAAGAAAAGCCTTCTAGAAAGGTGAGGGTGTATCGACTTGACGGTAGTGCATTAGCTAGCGCCATCCGCGACCTCAGGAACCCCCGCCCAAGGACCCCGCTAACGAACGTATCCCGCCCGGCAGACTTCCTCAGCCCTACACCACCCCCGACCATCCTCAAACGCCCGTTGCCAACCTAGGTCTGCTGCATCGTGCGAAATCATGGCAAGTGCCGCCATCACTTCGCTGCTACGCGCGTCATGCCGGGTCGTTCGCTAATACTTCGGCCTAGTCTTCCGAGGCACGACTATACACCTTCTCTGAAGAGACCAAGTCCAAGCTACGCAAGTTCCGCCTGGGCACCTCGCGCGCCAAAGACCCCCAGGCCGTTATCTGTTCGTATACCTAGGTCTGCTTTTGCCGCAGTCGTTCCTGCCACAGCCAGCCGCGGCCCTGCCCTCTACAATGGCGCTGACGCCCATGCGCGCCAGACGAAATCGATAAGAAGACGCTCGAAGTACGCCAGTCGGACGATGAGGTCTACACCGACGTACAGAGTCTCGCCGATGAGCTCCCAGACCACGCACCGCGATTTGTGCTCTTGAGCTACCCGTTGACCCTCGTACGCCGCACCCACCATACACATCGCAAGGGAAGCTGAGACTTGATAGGACTCGGGACGGTTATCGGTACCATACGTCATGCTATACTACCTGCCCATCACATGCAACAGCGAGGTGAAGATGCTGTACGCCGGCGCAAAAGAGCTCATGCGGAACACAAGTGAGGTGAACCGCATCATCGAGATCGACAGTGCCGAGGATTTGGAGGAGATTGAAGACAAGTTGAAGGAGCAGAAGTAAAACAGTACGAGATGACGATGCAATGAGAGAGGGTATAGCACGACACATGAGCGCGCGCCGTTTGACTACACCGGCTTTAAGGACAATACCACCACGATGTCGTATCCGCACCAGATACCGCACCGTGTTCGGTTCACACTAGCAATGCTTGGTATTAGTCCTTGTTCGTACATACCGACTGGAGATACCTGCGCTCATTTCTTGCTTCCGTTTCTCGCCTACAGTGTCCTAACACATGTGGTATCCGTTTCGGGCGATCTTGAACGATCATGATGTTGCTGCGTCACAGCTAACACTCGCATAGTCACGATATCAGAACATCGCTGTCAGATAGATGCGATTCTGCTTAAAGCAGCATCGAGCAAACGCCGAGTGTGTGCCCTGGTCTAGGCGTATAATTAAGACCTGTTATCGCATCGTCGGACCCTCACCAATTTGTAACACCTATCGTCTATCTGTACCAGCCGTGTCCAAATCCTTTCACGCCGCACGAGGCACTACGATTGGTCGGCGCCCCCATCTTCCTACAAAATTACATGTGGACCCCCACCAAGCTCAATCACGGCAGAAGACCAACAACGGCAAAAGAAAATCTCCGATGTGCACACCACGCTGCAATGTCTGCATGGGGAAGGTACGCTGACCCTTTTTCAACCTTCATATGTATGATTGCGGCACGTTCTCGTTTGTAGGGATGTTGACAAGTGTGCCCCTTGCCCCCGACTTTTGTGGAGACGTCTTGGTCTGTCGCTTGCGCCGTATACAGCGCTTCGTACCGAACCCTGCAACATCAAAACGTTGAAATACGGGAAACGGAAAAACTGCTGCAAGTCGTAGGGATCGGCAGCGAAAGTTTGGCTCGGTAAATTATCTCATGATATGTTGGAGAAGACTTTGCGCGCACGGGAGGATACTGCACGCGCGTTGGGCTCTGAGGATCGTGGGGACTGGGTTCAGGAGATTGTGTTCGAAGCGATATGAGCACCCAACTAAAGCGGCCTGTTCCTCGAGTCAACGCGCCTACGACTTCCAACGCGACTTTTGCGGGAGAACATCATGTCACTGTTGCGTTCTCTGCAAGTATGTCGGCAACGATGGCACGGGCGTTGGCCAGCCTCCACCTCATACTGCGCGGTATAAATCGACGGTATAGATTTCACTCGGCATACGGGTGGGAAGATTACGATTCTGCAGCTTCCTCCACGAGCGTGTTGTAAGATCAGTGGTCGCTTCACCCGACGCTGTCACCGTCTTTGCTTTGCGAGCAGCTGGTGATAAGCTCGTCTCTGTGTTGCATCGAAGATACGTCATCAGTCGCGTCGCAAGATCACGACGCGTCTGTTCTGGAATTGGACTAGTATCGCTTCTGGAAGCGTGTCATAGTACCGAGCGTGCGATGCGCAGGTCCTGGAAGGGCATGTGCGCACAGTAATCACCAAGACTTGTATGTCTGAAACATATCATATTCGAGCTGATGTCGATCATCCTTCGCCGGAACAACGCGACGCCAGCAGTAAGGCCTCTTCATCCGAGCTCGCTTGATATCGAGCCATGACCTCTCATCACCCAAACCATCACGTCTACCCGAAGAACTCTGTGAGACTGAGCAGCAAAACATGCCTGTTCAGAAACCTGCTCTTGCTCAAGACCGCGCGTGCTCTCACGTCTAGATTTGACACAAGAATCATCATCTTGCGCACCACATGAGCCTTATTATACTGCCCACTTGCTGCGTTTTCGGAGGCTTGGCCCGAAGCGATAAAGTACGTAGGGAATTGGCAGTGCTACGACACTGATGATACCAAGCAGAGTCAAAGTCCAATGAGTCCCCAAGTTCCTATACATCGGGATACCAACAACAGTCATCCCACCAGCTGCAATGTATCTGACCAGCGCGACAAATGTCAGGGCCGACGCTGCGTATGCTTCGTAGCTGTCGATGATGTACATGTACGCGGACATGAAGATGCAAATGTTGCTGAAGCCGACGAGCAATGACGCCGCTAGAGGCGACCATATCGACACCGAGGCCTAAAACTGGTTAGACTTCTGCATAGAGATTGAGAGACAGGTATAGCATATACTTACATAGTCAGTCCACCCCATCCAGAAGAGACCAATAGGTAGTGTAGGTGCTCCAATCATGGCAAAGAACAATCTTGACTCGCGGTGTATAGCTTTACCGGATCCATCGTCTCCATCTTTCTCGAGTTGTCGCACGGTTCTGCGGTATGCCATTGGAACAAGAAGCGCGGAAAGAGCTATACCGACGAACAAACCCACGAAGCAGATGTTGGATAGTCCCTCGTTGATGTCGAAGGTTTCCGCAAAGATGTAAGGGTAGCTGCAAGGACGTTAGCGGTACTGTTCGCGTTTGCCGGGTTACGATCTCTAAAAGTCACATACCCATCCAAGAAGGTGAACAATATGATGTAGACGATCATCAAGTAAAGAGTAAAAGCTACAACGATTGGCTGTGTGCAGAGAAGGAACGGTCGAAGAAAAGACCTGGATAAGAGTTCGCCGATAGAGCCATGCGACGCTTCTGTCGCAGTGAGGAAACGATTGTTCCCTGTAAATTTCCGGAAATGATGAGCTTTGTAGTGCAAAAGACGCGGTGCGAATGATTCTCTTTTGAAGAGCAGTATGAGCGTGAAAGTTACTCCGATCAAGATCAATGTTATCCACTCGGTCCATCTCCAGCTGATTGACTCCTCGTAGCCGATGTATGCACCTATCACTGGACCTGTTTTCATGTTTGGTTAGTGAGGCCGAAGAAGCAGGTTGGAAACGAAAGACTCACCCAATACTGGTCCGCCGAATGCGGGTATCGCGAACAGTGGAAAAGCGAATGTCTTTTCCACTGGACTCCATAGGTCCCCCACCGAGCCGCCCGCAACCGTGAGAGGAGTGCTAGCAGAAAACCCAGCTAGGAATCTGAAGGTAATTTGGGCGCCAAAATTCGGGGCTAGAGCGGATCCTAGAGTCCAGCACGCGAAGACGAGGAGCGAGCCAAGATAGACTGGATATCGTCCGAGGAGCTCCGAGAGCGGGCTACAAATGTGAAGATAGGATGTCAGTTCATAGTTTAGATGCAACTCGTTCGTTCAAGTCTTACCTGAGTAGGAGAGCTCCAAAGCCGAAGCCCACCAGAAAGAGTGCAGTAGCCAACGACTCCGCTACCTCCGAAACCCCAAACTCGGCGGACGCTCTGGTGAGAACTGCAGAGTCGATGGAAGATGCGAGTGTCGCAACGAAAGCGACAAGGCATACGAGTAACGTCGCACCAATACGGTGTAGGGTTGAGAATTGCTTCGGGTTGTGTTGGTCATCGGGCCCGCTCCAATCAACCTGGTAATACAGCTCGTTGTTACCATCTTCTCTCAACGTGATGCCCGGAATCCGAGTGAACGGTTCACCTTTTTCCAGCTCTTTAGGTAACGCTGAATCCCCCAACCCATGTGCCTCGTCGGGCGAGCGTGCAGTACGAGCAGTCAGTGGATCTGAGACTTCAGTCACACGTTGTAATTCTTCCTTCACATGTCGCTGAAGAGCTCTGTACTGTAAAAAGAACGCCATGATAGGAAGAAAACAAAAAGATAGCTAAAAAAGATTATGGGGTCTAATCAAAAGACCGTTCCGCGACTATTAGGAGCTTGAGGAAACCGCCACGGGCTGCCTTATCTCCGTGACGTGACGCCCGCGAGCCATCATCGGAAAGGGCAGGAAGGCCTCCGACACATAAGCAAAACGCTATGTTTTTTAAATTGGGGCCTCTTCGAATGCTTGTGACGGGAGATGCGAAAGTGGGTTTTCGCTGGAGACTTTTTGTTGTGTTCATGGCTAGAGGCTTGGATTTAGCGTCGCCCATGCTCCCCGAGGCGGCGCTTTTCCTGAAAGGGTGACGGACCTGACGTAGGTCGTCGGGAATAATTGTTCATGCCGCGATCTTTTCTTTCGAAGCACGATTGTATTAATGGGACTGGGCTCTGTAATATCGGTGTTTGCATGAACTATGCTTTGCAACAATCAACCGATAAAGGCGGCTTCTGCTTTACGTGACGTGCGCGCGAGAAGGTGATCAACAGTCGTTTTGAGAATAACTTCGTCAGTTTGTGAGTATCCTTTTCTCCATCTTAAGTTGGAATTATTGATCTTCTGACGATAGAGTCTTGCGAATGGTCGCAAAAGATTGCTCACCTTTGGTAGATGCGAGCGGTCGTGACGGTGTCGGAAGCCTGGGTAGCCTCCGCGGAGCAAATGTTATCGGCTGTTGCCTCATCATTCTCAATCATGGCCGCTGCTTCCACTTCGTGCCAGAAAAAGGCTGAACAGGTTTAGAGCCTACACTCATGTTAGGTTGTCTACTTTGCATGCTTGTATGTTGATGTAGGCTGCAGGCCTGGCTTTGAGCTTCACATCAAGTCATAAAGAGTCGCACATGGGGTGTAAAACTGTCCTTTACCATTCCACAAGCTATGTAATAGTCCAGCAGAGATCTTGAACATCGAACAGTAAGTGATGCTCTTGATATCAAGCCCTTTCCACGTTCTCAGTCTTCACCGCGGTGTACTCAGCGTTAGATTGAAAGCCACCTTCCGGGAGTTTGTCAAGTTCGTCATTCTCTCGGTCCAAGCTGCGGAAAGTCCAGGCGAAACCAACCCAACCAAGGAACGTAAGGATGGCAATGCTCATGTAAAGCCACACAAGCAATGGATCACCAGCCAATGGCACAAAGGCCTGAGCGATGGCGGACGAGAAAGCATGCGTGAACCAAAACATGCCAGTCACCAAAGACCGCATGTTCTTTGGTGCTTTGGAGAACGCGTATTCAAGTCCCGTAATGCTGGCGAAGATCTCCGAGAATGCGATGAGAATGTATGCAGGAACCTGGGTCCACACTGAGAGATCCGGGGGCTGATCGCAGTCTGTTGGGAACTCTCCGCAAGGCGATTTCTGGTAGATGAAGTGTTGGATGACTGCTGCAACCACCATGGAAAGCATAGCGCAGACGAAACCAGCTTGGATCTTCTTCAGAGGTGTGAAGTTGATACCCCAGTGGGCAAGCCTCGGGTAGATAAATTTGTCGAATATCGGAATGCAAATCAGCAACGTGAATGGGTTCTATGGGCAATTCGTGTTAAAGTTTTTCTCTCGTGTATCTAGGCGTCGAGAACATACCAGGTTATGTACCACATCATTTGGTACACCATTGAGCTTCATGGTGGACGCCTGCGAAACCAGGTTACTGGTCCTTGAAGACGGTCAGCGGTTGTCTTATGTGCATCCAAGGTACCAATGATACGTACATTTGGCCATAAGGCAGCCAAAAGATGGGCAACCAGAAGAATACTTGACAAGCCTTGATGCCACGTCGAACTTCGTCCACCCACGCGTCATCGAAAGTCATCCATACTGGCTTGTTGGCGACTTTGCTTGGTTTTGCAGCGTCCCAAATGTTCGGATCAGAGAGATTCTTCCACGTACGCACGGGATTGAGCGAGAAGCGCCCTTTCAGAACCAGCCCGTATGTTCTCATGGACTTGACCAGCACATCACCCTGTGGAGGTTTCTTGACGTAGTGCTTGCTGAGGGTGACCATCAGAAGCGGGCAAAGCGCAAAGAGAATAGTTGGTAACGTGAAGGAGAGCCAGAAGCCGACGTATTTCTCGGCATATACTGTAATGAACGTCAGCTACCGCATCGCATGGTTCATCGAACATTGCTTACCCATAGAGACTTGGCCGACCAGCGCACCAACATTGATCAGAAGGTAGTAACGCATGTATACTCGGGAGTATGTAATGCCCGGGTCCACTATCACCCGTTCACCGTTGGGCTCGGTACGAATAAAAGCTCGCGGATGACTGGCTTCATACTGCTCCGCGATAAGCGGAGAGATGCAGCATTTGAAAAAGCCCCTGCAAGTGGTCAACATATGGATTGAGTGCGTTCCGTGCGGAGATACTTACACGCCGGTGCCAAACAGAATCAGGCCCAGAATGAACGAGGCAAGAGCTCCTTCGGGGTTTGGTCCCATAACCTGAGGGATCGCAGCAATGATGATTAAGATATGACCAAGTGTAGCAACGGCAATGGCGAAGTAGATCGTCTTGAATTTGCCCCAGTATTCGTCAGCAACCCAACCGCCTAGTGAAAATATTAGTACAATTCTTGCTCGGGAACAAAGATTACGCTTACCAACTAGCGGCATGATGTACGAGAAGAATGAGTTGAATTGGACAAGGCCTGTGCTAGCACGCTGGCCCATTCCAAGAGCTCCCGGTTGACCGTCGCCAGCAGCGCCAGCTTCAGGGAAGGGTCCTGACGTGGGCAGGTCTCTCTGAATGAAGTTGACAAAGACGGCGGTCGTTCCGTAGTAAGCAAAACGTTCACACATTTCTACAACACCGATGATGTAGACTAGGAGTGGGTTGGTACGTCAGCGCATGATACACAAAGACCCTGTAGAAAGGATGTGCGTACTCATCCAGTTGACTTTACCATACACACGACGAAGCTTTCCCCAGTCTTCTTCGGTAGGGTATTGCTCGCCATTGGGGCCAACAAGACTCTCGGAAGTTGACACAAACTTGTCGTGCTTCTCCAAGCTCGCACTGCCCCGTGTGTCGTTGTGAAGACGAGGTGCATTCGCCAATGCGGCGTCAACAATCTCGAGATTTGCCCCTGTAGACATGGCTGGTGGTGAGAACGTGATTGTCTCAAACGCTCACGTCGACTCGCCGGGTTATATAAATCTCTTTGGCATCTTCCTTCGGATTGCGAGCTGCCTCATTCAGCAAAGTCGTGGCACTGTATTACCATTCACAACGTTCTCGGCACCAGACAATCTTCCCGGTACCCTGATCGCCCAGAGATAACTGTCTGTGCAAGGCGCTCGGTACTCGCTCGAATTCCATCCTACGTTCTTGGATTTCTGGGTATCTCGGATAAGCGGTTGGCGCCGAGCGATGCTAACGGCTGCGCCGTTCTTGAACGTTTGTGACCTGATCTTGGCAGGTATTTCGATACCAGGCCAAGCAGATAGCACCCAATGAGAAGCAAAATGAAATATGAAGGGGTTGTTGGCCACCTAGTAGTAAACCAAGACGGTTGGACGTCCAAGATCTGACAATATCTTGACAAACCCTACATCGCGACCTTCCTCATCAAGCAATGTGGCAACCCTTATCCTGAAGATCTGCTCCGATGGATATTGTCCAAGTGACATCGGAAGTGAGCTTCCATCATGTCTAACTATTGCTCCTGGGCGTAACGAAGCCTTCGTCGCGGTTGTCTGATTGAGCGGAAGGTAGTCTGTCAATGAACGACGCGTTCGGACATGTATCATCGGACCTTGACACGCAAGGAAGGAGGCGTGAAGGAAATCATCGGCATAACTACTACCATCCTGAAAGAAAGGTGTGGACTGGTCGCAGTGTCC